AGGGGCCTATCATTCAGCCTGTCGACACTCCACTCACACCATTTGTATGATCTTTTGATCTCTCTGATTATAAAGTCCGTGCCTGGGTGCTCTCTTCACTTCACCTGACAAAGGGGCAGCACTCCGAGGAGATTTCAAATAAACTTGTTAAACTATAACCTGGTGTCATGTGACTTTTGGCCTTGTCCACCCCAGTCCAACACCGGCACCTCCACATCCTAGTCAGCCCTGTGATAAGAAGAATAATGGAGCCTCTACCATCAGTAACTGTATCTCCAGGATACACTTCAGAGGGAAAAATGCATTCTTCAAAAGCAACTTGGTCTCCAAGTTGACCAGAACACAACACCATTTATCCTGCAGTTCAGACTTCTTCCCCTCCCCGAGTCATCCATGGCTAAGCTAGAAAGGTACGGCCAATCTTGTCTCTTTAAATGCGCACCAATGTCCACAATCTGATCCACAGCCTACTCAAAACAGTGAGCAGGGGCTGCAGTTAGTTCAGCCTCAGTGACTTCAGCTAGGGAGGAGGCAGAGATCAGCAAAGGTTTCCGCGTCTGGCTCTCTGCCTGGAAACAGCACGCTCCAGCCAGACAAGGGCAGGATTATGGCAAGGGAGGGATGTGCTGTGTTGGTTGAAAAGCCAGGCAGAACACACAGATCGCTTGTGCCTGTGGAACGATTACAGTCACTGTCAGCGCCCTCAGGGAAGGCAAGTGAGAAACAGCAAGGGACAGGCAAACAGAAGAGGTATAACATAATCCATCCAAGATCCAAGGAATTACCATTTCAGATACTTATCAACTGATCCGTTCTGTCAAATGTGTTTCTTATTGCCGTGATTACAGCTTCACAAGTGGGCATCTAGCAATTTTAAATGAATATCTAGTCAAACTGCTAAACCTCAGAGAGATCATCCATCTAATTCCGCCCCTGGAAACCCATCGCTTAAGATGGTCATTACAAATGTATCAGTTGGGGTTTTCAACTTCTAGGCTGTCACCTCCATCTGCTGGCACACTGTAGACACTGCAAAGGGAGAAATTCAGGAAAACACCAAAAAAAGGTTGGAAATAAATGATCACTTGTGATGTGAACGGAGAAGATTAACCCAAGATTTCTACAACCATTAATTGAGATCTCCCACCACCATATTCACATGGTGATATCATATAAATGCAAGAAAAGATAAAATGGCATTGGAGGCAGTCCAGAGAAGGTTCACTAGATTGATTCTGGGTATGAAGGGACTCTCATGTTGAGCTTGTACTTATTGGCGCTCAGAAGAATGACAGGCAACCTTATTGAAACCTGCAAGATTCTTAGAGGACTTGACAGGGCAGATGGGGGAAACTTGTTCCTTTTTATGTAAAAGTTTAGGACAAGAAGTCATAATCTTAAAACGTGGGACCAACCACTTAAGATAGAAATAAAGAGCAAATTTTTTTTCTCTTAAAGGGGCAGTGAATTTGTGGAATTCTTTATCACAGAGGGCTGTCGAGGCTGGGTTATTAAATATATCCTAGGTTGAAACAGACAGATTTTTAATCTATAAGGATTATAGAGAGAAGACAGTAGCGTGGAGTGGAGGATTATTAGATCATCCATGATCAGGCTGAATGGCTACTCATGCTCAGATTTTGTGATCTTATGGATTTTGGCTCCTGGATTGTGCAGAACCACATCCCATCACTGCAGGTCTCCCAAATATTTGGGAAACAACAGACAGATTCAGGGCCAAGCCAGGACACCACAACAAAGCCACTCCTGTAAATTCTGGCAGTGTGAAACAATGATCAAAGCATAGATTTAAAAAAAGATTAAACGTTTCCTAACCAAAAAAGGCCACAAATAAAAACTCTCAAGGTACCGCTGTCTCAGTTCAGTACGGAAAGTTCTTGCTGTGTAAGCACTTCTCAACTTTAAAAGGGAAGGGACAGGGCATCACCATACATTCACACAGTACCCCACAATGATCTTCCAGCCTCAGAGGCCACAGTTCATTCAGCTGCTGTGGCTTGTGCCAGGGACAGGAGGGAGATCAGTAAAGGTGCTCGGCCTGGAAACAGCAGGTGCCAGAGAAGGGCAAAGTCGAGGCAAGACCTTAACGCACTGCATGGTTAAACAGCCCATTATGTAGATGGCTGGTGCCTGGGGAACAGTTACACAGCCACTGTCAGTGCCCTCAGGGAAGGCAAGCAAAAAACAGCAAAGGACTTTGAAATGGGACTTAATCCATCCAAGACCTAATGATTTACCAGTTTAAATACTTGTCAACTGAACTGATCTGACAAGTGTGGTTCTTTGCGGTACTTGCCACAGGTAAATTAAATTACAATTGTACTCGGGCCCTTGTAAAAAACACAGTATCCCATTACTGTCACACCAGCCTAAAGGTATTGTCTGCTCTTGGGAGTATCGTTCCATAGGTACTTGACTCTCTGGCATTTTGCCAAATTGTCCTCTCACCTGCTGAAAATCTAAACACGGGGAATATCAACAGTTATTGATGCATTCAAAGTGACCCCATTCACTTGTCAACTTGGTTGGCTGCCTAGACCCATGTTTACAGACGTAACTGCAAACCCAGTAATTACTCACTTTTCCAATCTCCTGTCATTCAAATAATTAGTATTGAAGGGCACTGATATCAAAAACATGGGCAACACATTCTTAATGTGCATGAGGTGCTGTGGCCAAATGCACGAGATCACAACATTCTAGCACTTGAGTTCTCCTCTATGCTGTTACTGCTGGCATGAAGGTATGGAGAAATTAGATAGCATATGAAATAGAATGAACAAACCCAATGCCTACAAGTTATCAATGGCAAAGAGCTTCTTAAAAATACCATGTTCAAAGATTTAATTAGAATTGACAACTCCAGCCTTACATTGCTTACCCTCAACTCTTTTCCAAGATGTGTACTGACTCTCAAGCTGCCTATGATACCTTTCGATGGAAAGGTCAGTGTAAACACAAGCAATATAAATAGCCAAACAGAACATATCATGAACCACTACACTGGGAGCACAAAACACTGACTGGGTGGCCGCTTTGCAGAACACACAGGTTATGTCTGCAAAAATGACCCTGAGCTTCTGCCACTTCAACACACCACCATGCTCCCTGGCCAACACCTCTGTCTCAGAAACAAAAACACAAGTTGCTGGAAGAGCTCAGCAGGTCTGGCAGCATCTGAGAAGAGAAATCAGAGTTAACGTTTCGGATGCAGTGACCCTTCCTCAGAAGTTCTGAGGACCCTCTCCCATGTCCTTTCCCCAACCACGACACACCAGGCCTTGTCATCACATGAGCTGCTTCCACAACCATCCCATCGTCAGTCACTTTAATGGTCCCCATTAGCAGCTACTAAAGCCCCCAGGCTGACCATTATGCATTTGTTTATCTGTCCAACTGTTGTTCTCTCCCTCCGGGCTTTATCTCCACCTATCATTTGCTCTTCCCCCTCCCAAACCCACTTACAGCATACACACCAACCTTTTCCCAGCTCCAATCAATTCTGAAGGGTCACTTGACCCGAAACATTAACTCTGACTTCTTTCCACAGATGCTGCCAGACCTGCTACGTTTTCCCAGTAATTTCTGTTTTCGTTTCTAATTTTCAGCACCTGCAGTTTTGTTTAGAACGTATCAGGTGGCTTTGTTTCTTCTTCCAAACCTCACCCTTCTTCATCTCCATGTACAAACTTATGCCAGGATGTAACTGTGCCCACACTGGGCACAGCTGGTATCTCACCTGCTTCCTCATTCTTGTTCGAACCATGTATGGGAGGTATAACACAGCCAATCTTCACCCTGCACTCACCAAATATTTGTCCTTACACTTCATGGTCCTCCATTCCTGTTTGTGGTTCAGTGGTGCCAAGGCCAACGGGATCTCTGGTGGCAACCTAGCAAAGACCAGCTAACATGGTACATAGCAGGATTGCATGTCACACAGCTGACAGGGGCTTTTTTTTTTTAATAAACCAATAGCCATTGTGAAATGCTTCAATGTGTTTGTAGCCTGTCAAAATCTAGAGGGAATTCGGCAAATCTTTGAGGGTACCTCGTATACAGTGGGGCTACAGAAAACAGCCAGTAACATGTTAATGACCAAATTGTCAACATTCTGATATTAAAATTTACATTTCTTCTACTTGCCCCGACATTCTCTATATTTTTCACTTTAACTTCTTTGTGATGGCAGCCCTTTCTTCCTAATGACCCCACAGACTTGTTTATCCAGGGTGCAAACTGAAACACACAGATCAACAGATCCCAGATGAGGTGACATTGGGCCATCTGTCTTGTCATATGGACCTTACTGTTGACACAAAGCACATGTATAAATAATGATGACTTGAGCATGGATCCACACTGAAAAAGTCCGTAAAATTAAAGAAAAAATCTTGGCATGCTGTTTCACTTATTGCCATTGGTATCTGTTATTTCGTTTTGAAATTGTAAAAGATGACCCTTTTTCCTTCTTGCAAACCTGCTGCACATGTGCCCAGCTCAACAATATTGCCCCAATAAAAGAGTTGTCTGAAAGTGGTCTAGATCATTCCGAAAAAGCTAACCTTTATCAACCTCTTGGAGGTTAGGCAACTGGAGCTTGATTAGGTCACGCTATTGACTGTCATTGCTGTAAAGCAGCTACATGCGATAACTCACCAGAGCACCGAGGCAAAAGGATGCTGACTAAAGGCAGTGCTGCTGCCACAAACACCCACATTGTCCCATCTACCCTGTTGTATGCCAAACGCAGGCCCACTGGAAGTCATGACTTTAAAAATGATGCTATTTAATTGCAACTTCAGCATCAAATCCACCTTTGGCTTCATCAGCAGTCAGTTCAGAGTGCATTGCAGAAGTGACAACATCTCCCTCAGCACAGTGATTGCACTGGCCCAAGATTCAAGTAAACTCATTGTATTCAGACCCCCAACTTCATCGTCCCTCGTTTGAAAATATATGACAGAGAGAAAACTGAAAATAATATAAAAATTTCATTTTCCATATAGTCACAGTACTTGCACAGAATTTACATGGAGTCAAGGAGTGTTTGTACACGTTCCTCAAGTATTACGGTGGTTTAAGTCCAGTAGCGTCACATGGTTTGACATTCAGGGTGGCTTTTTAACTTGTGAAACTTAACACTTTCCATTTTCTCAAACTTCTTGCCGCAGTATTCACAGGTGAAGTTGTACTGTATTTCTGTGTTGTGCTTCTTCATGTGCCAGTTCAGCGACGCCCTCTGTCGACACTGATAGCCACAGATTTCACACCTTCAAACATCAAGCGGGAAATCAATTATTAATGCCTATCAAAGATCAATGCCAAGCAATGTTCAACATTCCAATTCTCAAGCCAACACTTTCCCCACATTGGTTTTCTGCACGAGCACAGTCCTCAATCTCCCTCCTTGCATTGCAGCAATCAATCGGGTGTAAAATTACATTAAGAGATTTTGCTATTGCTCCTCTGTACAGGAACTAATCACACTGCACAGAAGACAGCTTCCTGATATCAGTCTTAAATTTGCACATTAAAACTCCGCTGTTCATGGGAGCTTGCTGTGCACAAATTGGTTGCTGCGTGACCTGTTTTACGTCAGTGACTACACTTCAAAAGTAACATAGCTGTAAAGGTGTTATGGGACATCACGAGGTGTTTGAAGCTCCAACAGAACTGCAAGACACGGAGCTGAAATTGATCTACGTTCTGCAAATGTTGCCAGACCTGAGTATTCCCAGCATTTTCCTGTTTTCCTCCCAGATTTCCAGCATCCTGCTTTGCTTATTTTTTACCTTTTACTTTCTTTTCCTCTTTATTTCCAGGTCTTTATTTTACTAGCTTGAACCTGTACCCCCAATTTTCAATTCAGCCAATTTAATATCCCCACTATTATCTATATCGTGTGAACAATTTCCTTCTCAAATGTCTCTTGTTCCAACTGAAAAGACTAACTCCATCCCCCAGCAATCTGCCTGTTTCTTCTGGAAATTGGTGAGCTCTTAAGTGAGGGTGGGAAACCAAGGTAAGTTAGCTCCTATGCATAGTCCAGAGTAACAATGATCACCTGTCACTCTCCTATTGCTGTGCTAGCTAGAAGCAAATCTGGGCCATTACAATGCATCAAACACAGAAATTGCTGGAAAATTTCGGCAGGTCTGGCAGCATCTGTGGAGAGAAATCAGAGTTAACGTTTCAGGTCCAGTGTCCCAAAAACTTCAATTCTGTGGAAGGGTCACCAGATCCCATATGTTGACCCTAATTTCTCTCCCCAGATACTGCCATACCTAATGAAAATTTCCAGCAATTTCTGTTTTTGCTTCAGATTTCCAGCATTCGCAGTTCTTTGTTTTTTTGTCTAGTGTCATCCAGTGACACTATCAGCTCTGGGAGGTTACCAGCACATTGTTACTGACAAAGTGGGATTCTATATGCCAAAACTGAAAGAAAGGGTGGACCTACGGATGGTTTGGGGTGTTGGGGGGAGGGGAGGGGAGGGGGTGACATTCAACTCAAGCAGAGCTCAACATAAAGAGATATCTAAGTCAAAAAAAATCACAAATCTTGCTTTCCCACCCACCTTTTCCGTTCACTTCATCCAATTGCCTTAACCTTCCTGCAGGAGCCCCTGAAGAGTGATCAGAAGCAGGCCAGGGCTAGTGTGGCTTCCTTCCCTCACTCAAGGGCAGGGGGAGTGTCAATTACAGAACTCCAACTGAGACTATCTAACTCAACACTGACTGGAATTTGAACAGCGGATTTCCTGGTTCATTGGACTCAGCAATGCACCGCCCACTTTAGAATACAGTGCATTTATTCACAGAGGGAGCTTCAAGAGTATTCTAGCCTCATTCAGTCCCAAATGGAAATTAATTGATCTGTGCTGATAGGTTCTACAGTAGAAATTGTACAAAACCCAAAAATATTCTCCTATCTCTTTCAATTTACCCTTTCCTCACAGAAATATAAAGATAAGCTACAAGTTACACAGCCATTCTTATACCATACTTCGTACAGCCACAAGGAAGATAGTTTGGAAAAAGAGGAAAGGCAGAAGGGTGACATATGTAATAAAAGTGCTGGAGAAATTTGGCACTTTCTGAAGTCGTCATTTTGGACTCGAATCGTTAATTCTGTTTCTCTGCCCACAGATGCTGTCAGTTCTGCTGAGTTTCTCCAGCATTTTCTGTTTTCATTTCAGATTTCCAGCATCCAATGTATTTAACTTTTAGGTTGACATGTTTCCCTTTTAATCCCATTTACCTGCTGAGATGAATTATTGCACAGTTGGATGAATAGAACAAATTATACAGGTGTTTCCTTTTCCAATTTAGAAATGGAAATTCTAAATTTCCATTTAGAAACAAGCTCAGCAGTTCGAAGTTCTCTCTTATCCTTGCTCCTGAGTTTTTCTTTGATGATTAGAATGATTACCCTGTCAGGTGTATTTTTATATCCCAAAAAACAGGGCCTTCTGAAGTTTTAGGGTTAGCGTTAATGTTTATCTAATGTTAACATCTATCTAATGCTCGGTTAAAAAGCATCAATTTTCAGGGAACCAAACCATGCAGCACCTCATCCTCTAATGTCTGGGATGTAGTAGGATAAAAGCAATGTAGCAGTGATGTTACTAATCCAGATGACCAGGCCTAAGGCCCTGGCAACCTGGGGTCAGCATTTAAATTCAAGTAAATCTGGAGTTAAAAGATATCTCAGTAATCGTGACTATGAAACTATGGCTGATTTTTGCTCATTAATGTCCTTCAGGGAGATAAACCTGTGACCCTCACCCTATGTGTGGTTCCAGACCCACAACACTGACATGAAACGGCTTAACAATAGCCACTTAACAAGTGGGCAACAAACCCTGGCCTTCCCAGTGACACCCACATTGCACAAAAAAATAAATCCAAAGAAAAATTAAATTACAAACTTTCTGCTGAGGCCCAAGTGGATACAATAAAACTTTAGCACTGAAAGGGTAATTCGCAGCTGGGACAAAAATTACAGAATTAGCACATTCTTGGTCAAAGTACAGAGCTTCACTCTGTAAATGACTACAGGCAGTGTCCAAGTTGCAAACAAATTCCATTCTGGAATTAATTTGCAAGTCGATTGGTATACAAATCAAAACACAACGCAGGACAATGGAACATACAGGAAATGTTCTTAAGTTGCATCTTCAAAATTAAACTCCTGTTTGGGATCATATTTGTAAACATGAGCATTCGTAAGCAATTGGGTCTCCCTGTACACTGCAAATGGTTTGGAAGGGCATCATTACTTTGTGACCAAAAAAAGTTTCTTTTCCCAGTGACAGCTTTCATGTCAGATGAACAAATATTTAATAAATCTGAAGACGTGCAGCTTAGTTGCCTGACATTCAAAAACTGCCCAGTGAGGTGAACACAAAAACACAGCAGCAAACTCGTCACCCATTTTCCTTATAGAGATGTAATGCAACAAAGGACCTACTGGAGTGGGGTCTCCCCTGTGTGCATCCTTCGGTGAACTTCAAGGTGGTTCTTTCTTTTGAATGACTTCCCGCATGTTTCACAGATAAAATCCCGCACACCTAGATGGCAGAAAACTGAAATCAGAACCAGTAGTTTTGAGTTCATTTTTAAGTCAAAACAGATTGAAAGCAACTACCTTCCAAAAACCAAGAACATTCACACATTAACTTCATTAATTCCAAGAGTTGAACACTGCTCCCACAGCTGGGAGACCAACACACTCTCCATACTCCTAGTTGGGACACCTGATAAATTCAGATGAGATGATTCAGTTATCTTTCTGATAATCCCACACATCCTACTGAGCTGCACATTCACAGCATAGAAATCAAAACTAACTCCTTCTTTCCTGGGACTCAAACTCTTTTTTACCACCCTCAGTCACATTACCTGCATTCAGTCTAGTCTTTTAAAACCCAGGCTTGACGCGGGCAAGTCAACATTTTTGGATTATGTGAGCTTCTCTCCTCCCCACGTGGCAGTTCCCCACTCAAACACAGGGGGCAGCTTAAAAGAAAAAACACCTGGAAAAGCAGTAAACAAAGTCTTCTTTGGTGAGAGCATTGCATCAGGTAAGAACATGATACAAGAAACAAGACCAAATCATTCTACCCCTTGAGCCTATGTCGTCATTCAATGCAATGGTGACTAATCTTCAGCTTCAATTCCTCTTCTCCACCCTTTCCTAATATGCCTAGTGTTGTGGACCAGACGAAACCCCCTCCATTTTCAGAAGATAGTCCAGACCCCAACTTTCTCTTACTTTAGAGATGAAATGTAAGGTGCTGCATTCCAGATATAATTTGGTTGATCAAACTACCAGATTTAAAGCAATACACACTCTAATCATCCACTATAGTTAAAATACAAAAGGTGGAAGAAATTGGAATAACAGAATAATAAATACAGTAACAATTACTAATTAACTGTTCCAACATAGTAACACCCTTTTTACACACTATTGGCAAAAGGCAAATTTAGAAAATTAGATGGGTCTCACACGCAACCCCAGGGACAGGAACAGAACCTCAGCTTTTGGCTGCAAAAGAGAGGGGAGAAATAGCTTCCATTTCAAGACCCCAACAGCAACTGCTGAAAGCTAAAACTAAAAATCTTTACTCTGTGGGAGCTGAACCACACCCATTCAGGCTGCTTCTATTGTTCCGACTTCTAAAAATCAAATCCAAGGCCTCACAAGCCTCGAGTGGCTACCGCAGATTGCTCCACACCTCTGCCTTAAACCCTCTCCAAAAAGAAAAACAAAATACACCTCCTAAAGCCACAGTATTGTCACACTAGATTCATACCACTGCCCAAGAATCTATCAACCCCAATTCTGAATATGGTCAATTCTTCGAAACAGATGATTTCAAAGATTCACAACGCAATGAAGAAATTGCTCCTTATCTCAGCCCAAAATGGACTTTATCCCAACGCACCCACCTATCCATAGCTGAATTTCCACTTGGATATCATGAGATGGAGATCTCGGTGTTCTTAAAAATAACAGTCCTAATTATTTACCAGTATTACTATTGGAGGAATTTGTCAAGCGTAGTATTTTACTTCTGTTACTTCATTATTAGTTATATCAGAAATTAATGTAAATTAACAGCACATTAAGTTCAAACTTCTGGGTACTGTGATTTGCATTTCTGTGGCTAATGATGGCATAAAGATTGGTACAAGGTCAATACTGTGCCATTGGGTAATATTGGTGCAAGTTTTTTTGGCCAATCTCTTGGCACGTTGGGAACTCTAAAGGAGGTTGCATTTGTTGTCCATGCTCAACTGTCTCAAATTGGTGCTGACCATGTCCATTGCGACCAAATGATTTGGTAGCTCACTTTAGGGTGGTTCAGTGGTTAGCACTACTGCCTCACAACACCAGGGACATGGATTCAATTCCAGCCTTTGGTGACATTCTCCCCGTATGTGAGTGAGTTTCCTCCGAGTGCTCCGGTTTCCTCGCACAGTCCAAAAATGTTCAGGTTCGGTGAATTGGCCATGCTAAATTGCCGATAGTGCCCAGGGATGTGCAGGTAGGGTTACAGGGATAGGGTAGGGGGATGGTCTGGGTGGGATGCTCTTCAATAGGTCAGTGTGGACTCAATGGGCTGAATGGCCTGCTTTCATACTGTAGGGATTCTATGATTTGAGGGCATTAAATTGTGCATAGTTGGACTGGTAGGGCTGGCATGCTCCCTCCACCGACGGATATAATCAAATGAGATTTTTCTTGCAAACAGCGGATTGCTTTCATGGCCCAAACCTACAGATGGCCAGAGTTATTAAATTCACTTTTATAGCTTGTCATGATGGGATTTAAATCCAGGATGACTGGACTGCTAGTCTGGTACTATAACCATGACATCTCCAGATCTACAATCAGGTCATACTACCCATGCGTATTTAAGAATTTAATCATCAGGCTATCCAATTCATTCCTCTTCTGAAGGCATTGATGGTACACAGCTGCAGCTCGTACTACCATTGCACCATTGGATAAGGTATCTCTACTCCTGAACCAAGAGACCCAGGTTCAAGTCCCACCTGCCCAGGTTGAGAGATAACATCTTGATTAGAAAAATAGATCTATTCTTCACACTCAAGCCCTGATAAGAAAAGACTGATTATTCTATCTTTAATCAAATTCTGGCACAGATGAAACATGACATTTGTCACTGCTGAGGTACCAGCATTTTTACAGTCTGACACCTGTGCAATTTTGATGGGACTTTGGAGAAAGATTCTGCAACCACATAGTGAAGAAAGCAGTAGAACAGGGTGCAGGTGCTACACTGTGCCAAATCATCTACCCTAGACTGGTTTTAGAAAGTAAGCTCTTTCTTTCACTGCCACTAGGGTGAGCATGCCTACAGTTTTCTGACCTTGACTGCAAAAGTCAGACTCAGAGTGCAGCAGGTTGTATCTGCCTAGGTGCTAAATTTATTAAGATGCCCTAGCGGTTAGATGTTTTCTAAAAGTAGAAGGGCCTCTCTGCAAAGTCTGTTAAAACTACAGTCTTAAAACTTGAGGCCTCTGTCTATTTCCATAAATCACAGGGTCCTACCAGTAGCACTTGTTATGCCCTGCAGTCCATTCTGCACGTAGCAACCCAGCTGAAGTGAAGAAGTAGGTTTTAATGTTATTTATATTCACTGAAAACATTGCATTATATAATGCTGCGACCAGGAGCAAGTTACAGATGTCAGTCTAATTTTGTCAGAAGGCTCTGCTGTTTTATACAGTGCATTCTCGAGTGTGACACAAATTGACCCAGATGGAGTTTCGATCTCACTGTTTGGTTACATATCCACATCTTTCCCAGAGCGCATTATGTTTTGGAGAACGTGAGGGACTCAGTTACAATTATTGGGATTGAACTTCCATGTTATTGAGAGCAGGGTAATGGGACAGCTGCTATGTGGGTCCACTGGTTTCTCTCACTTTGTATTGACCACAATTGGGGCCAGATGTCTGGAATGCTGCACGTACCAACGCCTGCAAGGAAACCATCCTCCTCAAAAATACATCATGGCCAACAGTGAACAAAGCTCAGGTGGTTGAGGAAAAAGATCCATGCTCTCAACCAGAATCCCGTAGTCCCCACTGGAACACACTCCCGCCCTACAAATTAATGACATCCTCACTGCCTGAAGGGTGCATCTCCAATGAAGAAGCAAAGATCATCCACCATGACGTGGTGACTGATCCAGAAGAGCGAAGTCCCCAGTTTCAACCTTACGTGAAAACCTGGACTGCCCTCAGCCACACAAAGACAGACCATGGAGTAAGTGGCCTCCTGCACCACGTGGGTGAGCAGGAGCAGCAGCTATCCGAGTCAGACCATAACCTGCAGACTGAGCTCTGGAGCCTGTGGCATCACAGCCACTCGCGCTGTGCCAGCTGAAGCCCGGAATTAAATCACGGTTGATTATCCACCTCAATGCCATTTCTCCATGCTATTCCCACATTTCCCAATGTCAGTAGTCTTCAAGCATCTATCAACTATGAATGAACGTTCTCAATGACTGAGCTTCCACAGACCTCCGGGTTAGAGAATTCTAAAGAGTCACCACTCTCAGTTAACAAATTCCACATCTGTCTTAAATGACCCGCCCCTTATCCTGAAATACTTAAAACCATCTAGCTCCACCCTGACACACCCGATACAAATTCTGTAAGTTTCAATCAGGTCACTGATACTCTCGGGAATAGAAACCATCTCCTCAATTTCTCCTCAAGACAATGCTGTCACCCTAGGGATTAATCTGTGGAAATCTTTCTTGCAATCCAGTATGGTGAGTGTATTCTCCTTAGATAAGGGGATCACAACTGTACACAGTGCTCTATGTGATCTCAGCAAGAAACTATACAACAAAGACCATCTTTACTCCTGTACTCAAATTCCCTTGCCATGAAGGCCAGTGTACCATTTGTCTTTCTAAATGTTTGCTGCACCTGGATGCTAACCTATGTGATTGAAAGGAGGACATCTTGGTCTCCAATCCCCGTCTACTTAAGTAATATTCAGCCTGCTATTTTGATCAACAGAAATAATTTCACACTGATTCACATATTCCATCTGGCATGTTCTGGCCTATTTGTTTACCCCATCCAAGTCCTCTTGAAGCCTGTTTGCTTCCTCCCGAGAACTTGTGTTCCCACCCAGTTTGGTGTCATCAGCAAAGTTAGAAATATCACAATTGGTACCCATAGCCAAATCATTTATAATAGATTGTGAACCATTAATCCCAGCATTACCTGACTAGGGACAGTCTCCCACGTTGAGAATGAAATGTTTATTCCCGGTCCCTGTCTGCTAACCAATTCTCAATCCATACTTGTACTTCTTTCCCACCAATCCCCTACCCTCTAATTTTATTTACTGATTGCCTGGAGGGAATCTTATCTAAAGCTTTCTGAAAATCAAAATAAACCATAGTCACTGGTCTCTTATCAACGCGACAGGTAACATCCTCCAAAAAGTCTAACATGTTTGTCAATTTCCCTTGCATAAATCCAAATGGGACTCTGTCCAGTTTTACCAGTATTTTCTAAACGTTCGCTTAACCCCCAAGTTCCCTCAATGATGCATAACTGCACAGCGACTGGGAGATGCTGCACATACCAAGCGGTATGCCAGCTCATCAGTGTCTGCTTTCAGAGGCTGCTGCTGCACACCGACCTTGCAGCATGTACAACAGGAAGATAAAATAAGAGTGAAGGTTGATTATCATGTCCTTTATGTCACTAGCAATGAAAATTTTATAATCCAAGAGGTCTGCAGTTCACCATTTTCCTGCTTTCTCCCTTCTGAAATAATGGGGTTACATTTACATTCTCCACCACCTAATTATGTCAACATCAACTCTCCTGTTGTGATTTGACAAACTAGATTAGGTCACTTCTAAGTTTTCCCCATCACAATTTCAGTTCCAGAGCCTATACTTAGGTGGAAAATTTAAGAAGTTCTTCAATTCGCTCCATTCAACAGAAAACAAACAATTTCAAGGCCTCGAACTCTTAACTTATTTTCTAAGGAAATTGTTAGCACAGATAACCTTCAGCCACACCATGGATAACATTATTTTGGTTCAAGTTTCTGTTAACCATTTGGTTGTGTTTTTATTACCGGGCCCATCAGGATCTGTTTAATCATTTGTTAATTTGGCACTTAAAAGGGTAGATAATATGCTCATGATCTGAACCCATTTCATCACTTTCTCTAAAACCTCACCATTGGCCATCTGAAGACTAAAAACTGGCACAGTGAGTTACAAGGGCCTAATTACTCAATTTAGCTTTCTAGTTAACTATGCTGGAAAGGCAGCCAAAGGGTTCAAATTACCTTTATGTGCAATAAACTGGCACTACATACAAATCAGCTCATCAGTCACAAGAGGGTGCAGCTGGTGAGCAGAGATCAAAGCTCACAAGAGCTTTTCATTGATAGTATTTGCATTATTGTAGCAAAGTGCAAGCTTAAAGAATACGTTTCCGGGCTTCAACCCAAATGAGCAGACTGCAACCTGCAAAAGCAATCTTCTTGTTAAATGTAGCAACTGAAATCTCTTATCTAATGGCTGCAGAATTCAAGGGTCTTGTGGTGCAGTGGTGATGTCGCTACCTCTGGGACAGAAGGTCCAGATTCAAGTCCCTACTGACACAGAGGTGAGTCATCACGTATCTGAACAAGCTGACGAAAACATTAATAAATAATGGCTGTAGAGTTTTATCGTGAACCTACCTGAATGAATGATCATGTGTCGCCGGAGATGATTCGATAAGTAAAACCTCTTCCCACAACCTGGATGTGAACAAACTTTCGTTTTCCCCTTTCTGTGCACAAGGTTGACATGGTTCTGATCAGAAGGAAATTTTTTTTTAAATTAACTGGGACAGCCAGAGAAACAAGCATGATTTGAGACTTTAGATTTGACTTTCTTGGCCTTCTACATCCTTTTTCTATAACTAGAGGTCATAGAATTCCTACAGCACATTCAGCCCATTTAGTTTCCACTGATCCCTGAACAGCATCCACCTAAGGCCCACGCCCCCGACCTATCCTGGCAACATCACATTTACCATGTCTAATCCACCTAGCCTGGACATCCCTGCACACCAAGTACAATCTAACATGCCCAATCCATTTTTAAGTGATACAAGCAAACTTTGCATTAATCTTTGCACATTTGAAATCACGAGTCAACACCAACAGCACAATTACAAACATAAACAACTTGCTTTTACACAGTACCTTTCAAGATCTCAAAGCCAACTGCTTTTGACATTTGGTCACTGTTGCAACATAGGAAATGCAGAATTTGCACAGAGGAAGCTCCCACAAACAGCAATGCAATAATCGCTGGATAATCTATTTTAGTTAAGCTGGTAAAGGGGATTAAATGATTTAGAATTACAGAATGATAATGTTTGAGGGAATTACAAATGGCAGATTCTTCATATTCAATTAGATGGCTGCAGCCCAAACAGGATTCTGAGCTACGTACAGAAGGTGATGCATTGTTGCAGGGTCCCTCACTGGTGATAATAGTAGTGACAGCAATTTTTCTTTTTAATTAATTTGTGGGATGTGGACTTGGCCAGCATAATTGCCTTCTCAGTGGCTAGCACTACTATTTCAGCGCTAGGGACCCAGGTTCATTTCCAGGCTCAGGCAACTGTCTGTGTGGAGTTTGCACATTCTCCCCCTGTCTGCAAGGATTTCTTCTGGGTGCTCCAGTTTCCTCCTAAAGTCCAAAGACATGCAGGTTAGGTGGACTGGCCATGCTAAATTGCCCATTGTGTCCAGGGACGCATAAATTAGGTGGATTAGCCATGGGAAATGCAGGGTTACAGGGATAGGGTAGACGGGTGAGCCTGGGTTGGGTGCTCTTCAGAGAGTCAGTGTGGACTTGTTGGGCAGAATGGCATGTTTCCACACTGTAGGGATTCTACGAATATCCTTCAGGAAGATGGTAGTGAGCATTCTTAAATTCTGTAAACAATTTTCCAAATTTAAAATACCTGGCATGAGTAATGAGGGTAATGGCCAAAGAGAAAAAACACCACCTTTACACTTTTGTCCAAAATTCCTGAGTTTAAATCAAACCATTCAAATTCAATTGGAAACCAGATTCCTACTTTGCTGTGTTACTTGGATTACAGAATGTAAATTGTAGGCAGTTTCTTTTTTGGTTCAAAATGAAAAAGGAAGAGTTCAGCTGTCAATAAACCTCTTAAGTTTCTCTATCGAAAACAGAGACTAAACTTTCAGACTTTGTTAGTGTAGACATTAAACTGTCGGAGTGTGCACACAAACTGATTCAGGCAATTTAGATTTCACTGACTTGGCAAAGATACTGGGTAACGTTTCTCAAAATTTGGGAACATTACTGCTATCATCTGCCTGGAGCACGATGGGTCAGTGAGAACTTGCTTTTCGGCCTTCCCTTGAATTAATCACAAATTTCATAATTTAATCTTTCCAACAGGTTTGTCTTATTGCCGAGAGTTAGTACTTGCCTGGAAGCTGTTCAAAGTGATGTATACCTGGCTGCATCCTTCGTGCGGACAGTGAAACAACTGAAACATCCCATCTGCATCAATAATGTAGCCGCCCTTTTTCCTCTTTGGTCTGCGGAGAGGATGCAAGATTTAGATTGTGTCATTTAAGTGCTGCAGTGGAGAAACTTTTAACAAATTATCTATGTATCTCAGCATCAATGTACTGTGGCGAGCAATTAAGCCAGGTCAGTTGGAAGATCCCAGATTTAAGCTCTGCTCTGATCTCAAGTTGGTTGGCAACAACTTTGCACCGTAGCCAGCCACAAGATTTTCATACCTAATCATTGCTGAGTGCCTCCTCCAATTGTGGACATGAAGTAAAATACAAAACACAAGGTTTAGAAATAATGGTCCTCATGATCCAACAACTAGATACGAGAAATCCCGAGAACCAAGGCCCAATGTGTAAATCAAGGCGAATTTAAGAATGAAAACTAGTTAAAAGCAATGGCCCATAAATGCATACGGAACTGAGGAGAAGCTTCTTTATTCTGAGAGTGGGGAGGGCATGGAATTTGCTACCATGAGGATCGCTTGAGGCAAATTGCACTGATGAAGTTAAGGGAAAGCAAGATTAAATACAGTAAGAGAAAAGAGAATAGAAGGATCTGTCGATACGGTGATATGAAGTAAATAGAGGACAAAGACAATTAGGAGTATAAACAGCTGCACAGCCTGGCTGAACGGCCTATATAATTCCCATTCCATAATTCAGGTATACAGTTCTTCCTGTAGCTGCATTTTTGTGCCACAGGATGGAGCTCAGCAGGTTGTAGTCATTCATACACTTTATCTAAATCGCTGCTGTCCTTACGGATTTCAGTACGGATGTGAAGCATGAAAAACCTATCAGGGCGCACACAAGCTGGATAAGATTCACCATTGATACTTCTGCAGTAATCTGTACTAATACAAAGTATATACAAACAGCATACACATTAAGGTTCAATAATTAATACCCAACTCTCTGGGATTAGACTTGTTCGGATGGACAACACCCAAATGAAAAGGAGGCGCTTTATGGAGAAATGGATAACAGAAGAAAACATGGCAGAAAACAATGGCACTCCAAGGACACAGAAAAAACTGACAAAGCAGGGCAACACTAATTGATTCTGGGTGAAGACTGATCACCTTTGGAGGTTAAGGGCTTGAAGTCACAGGAGGGTCTGGCTCTGAGCTACACGTACCATTACAAAGGCAGGACAAATGATATGCACAGTAGTGGCAACATCAAGGATGTACAGGAGGACCTCTGCCTAGCCAGAAGATGCTCATGCAACATTTGAGGGAGTCAAGGCATACGGCCTATCAGTCTGCAGAGTCTTCCACAGACCCATCTATTCCGAACCTATGCTCATCATCACCTGCAGACAAGAGGGACCCAATGCTTTATCCAGGGCTTCACTAAAGTACTTGTGCTACTCTAACTTCCAAGGGTGATTCCACACCACACTCGTCATCCAGTACAACTATGTACAATTGAATTTGGAGCTTTACATCTCAAGACAGTGGAGTTAGCTGTTTCCCCACAACCTGCTCAATTTGGAATACTGTGTTAATTCTGGTCTCCCTGCTCTTGGAAAAGTGATCTAAAACTTGGAAGGATTCAGAAAAGATTTACAAGGATGTTGCCAGGGTTGGAGGGTTTGAGCTACAGGAAGAGACTGAATAGGCTGGGGCTATTTTCCCTGGAGCATTGGAGGCTGAGGGGTGACCTTATAGAGGTTGAGAGAATCATGAGTAGCATGGATAGGGTGAATAGCCAACATCTTTTCCACAGGGTAGGAGTCCAAAACTAGAGGGAATAGGTTTAAGGTGAGAAGGGAAAGATTTATAGGGACCTAAGGGGCAACTTTTTCATGTTCATAGTGGTGTGTATATGCTGCATATCAGAGTGGGGTTTGGAGGGATATGGGCCAAATGCTGGCAAATGAGACTAGACTAATTTAGGATATCTGGTCAGCATGGACAAGTTAGACCAAAGAGTCTGTTTCCATTGCTGTACATCTCTATGACTATTAAAGTGTGCAATCTAACAACAATAGCTGTGTGCAAATACACAACAATTCTTCACCCATATTTGTCAATGGAAGAACAATGGCAGGCAAAGCACAGCAGAAAAATTCAGAAGCTATTCCACTGTGCTTGTTTCTTACTTATCATTAGCAGCTCTTTTCTATACCTTCTACAAAGGTGAAAGGTTCTGCTGTTCAACATACAAACACTCCTAGCAAATTGTAAATGATGAAGGACATTTTGAAAAAATGTCACTTGATAAAAGCTTCATCTTTATCACTAATGCATAATCTAAAGTGTAAGCTTTTAAAAAGTGAAGCTGTGCAGCCTGGAACCTATCCCCCCACCCAACTAAACTGTCTACAAAGCGAGAAGAGGAAAAGGTCCAAGATCTCAGACCTATTACTTCTGAGCATGAATGAGAAATTCAGAGTCATCAGCTGAAAACTTCCTTCAAAACCAAGTGCTCTCAGTATCCCACATTAGAAGCAAGCTGTCTGTATATTTCATTCTAGTTAAACAAAACGCCTTCGCAGAATAAAATAGTGTGCGAGAAGCACTCGTGGTGTTCTGGGAGTGATCCTACCTCTTGGTCAGAAGGTTCAGGTCTCACCGACAGTCTGAGCTGTGTTATAACTCTTCACCGCTGATGTAGGAGTATCAGGCAAGATTCCCATTCTTGTGACCCAGGTTTGATTCCCAGGTGGCAAACGCTATTTTGAAAAGCAGCATTAGCACTGTTTGGCCCTAGAGTCTATACGTGCAAGCACCCTTCTTTTGTAGGCCCCTCTTGTGGCACATTGGTAGTGTCCCTACCCCTGGACCAAGAGTCCCAGGTTGAAGTCCTGCCTGCTCTAGAGGTGTATAATGACATCTCTGAACAAGTTGATTAGAAAAATAGGTTAAATTAAAAATATAACAACTAAAATATTGTGCTGGGGACTCTTATGGTGCAACGATACAGTTCTTACCTCCAGGCCAGGAGGTCTGGGTTCAAGTCCTACCTGTCTTTTAGGTGTGTCATAACTATCTGAACATAGAACAGTACTGAACAGGAACAGGCCCACAATGTTGTGCCAAACAGGATGCCAAAATAAACCATTCCTTCTTCCTGCCACTGGTCCATATCCCTCTATTCATTGCATGTTTGTGTGCTGATCAAAATGTCCCTTAAACACCCCTATCGTATTTGCCTCCACCACCACCCCTGGCAGCGCATTCCAGACTCCTACCACTCTGAAAAGTTGATTAAAAATCTATACCAATCCAATTTCTTGGAGATCTTGTGGCACACAGTGATAGTATCCCTACTGCTGGACTATATGCCTCAGGAGGAGTTATAACATATTCAAGTAGGTTGTTTAAAAATATTTTCCTAACATTTCGTGAGAGGCTGTTGTGGCACAGTGGTAGTCTCTCTCTGGGCCAGAAGTTCGGTATTATCTCTCATACTCTGGGCAATGATATACCAAGATCAATCAGCATTTGAGTGAAAGAGCAGGTGTCCCCATCAACTACTTTAATTACTTTTTTTTTTTTTTAAGTTGTTTATAGGATGTGGATGTCACTGGCAGGGCCAGCATTTATTTATTGCTTATCCCTAATTGCCATGGCAGTGAGCTGCTTTCTTGAACTGCTGCAGTCTACTGTAGGAACATTCAGAGTAATATTAGGGAGGGAGCCCCATGATTTTGAGCCAGCAACAGGGAAGGAACAATGATACAGTTCCAAGTCAGGGCAATGTGCGGCTTGGAGGGGAACTTGCATGTGGTGTTGCCATGCATCTGCGGCCCTTGTCTTTCTCTCAAGTCAGTGAATCCAATCCATTGGCCGATGTCTGGAGATAGATCTCTTTTGTCAGCTCACACCCTGGTGATCTCTCAAGTAATTGCTTGCCACATTCAAGCTGTATAATAGCATTAAAACAACTTGCCCACAAGCCAAGTTAATTCTATCCTCACTGAGGACAGATCACTGGATCAACTGAGGACAGAAAGCCACATGCCACTGTTCCTTTCCCTAATCCACAGAAATGGGTATCCAATGCTGTACCCTTTGTATGTTTATTTCATTTGAGATCAGCTAATTCAATCAAGTTCAAGATCTGGGATCTTCCTTGGTTCAGTACTATATCAAACAACGCATTCAGTGACCAAGTCACCAGCAAAGATTATTGACATATTCCTGAATACCTATAATAACAATTCATGCCACTTCTATCTGTCTTACCTTCAAAGATATAAAAACAATGGGCACTTCAGAAACAAATACCAGCCGACCAATGGAAGCAGAGGACATTATGTGAATCTCAGGTCGTCAGTATGAAAGCTAAATCTCATGTCCCATCACAGAAGCTTTAACCAAACACTCACTTATGTGGCGTTTTCTGTGCAGCTTCCTTTGGTTCAGTTGCAGGCAACGCAGAGCCATCAATGACTGTTCTTTCTCCTATCACACCTGCATCAGTAAAGAACAAAGTTTCTGTCACGGTGAACTGCCACCAATTCAATCCGAAAGCTGAAGTGTGTTCAAGAGGCCATTGAAGATAACTTGTTGTTACAACAATGAAGTACTACTATACAGCCATAAGGAGAAAGTCTTATTGGTCCAGAATTCAGCAGATTTCAGGCCAATGCGGAGATAACAATATCACAACCACGCTGTTAAACTGAACAAGATTTGAAAAATGACATTAAAAATTGTTTTAGGATACAAACATCACATCTTTAAAGGTTATTAACATTAAGCCTCCCAAACTTCTTTTAGAAAATACCCACTATTTATCACTGTATTTGTATATTTTAAGTGCTTTGTATCAGTGGATACATAACTTAGCTGGATGTCTCCTGAAAATAGATTCAGATGCCCCTAGGAACTTAACTATCTGATACTGCCTTAATAGACCTGGTCAGCTTCCATAGTTATGGACAAATAAACAGAAACATCACCCTCATTACTTTCACTTCAATCTGCATTAAATGAAGAAAGAGTGCCTCATATGCAGCAGCAAGCTTTGCCAATCAACAGGCGGTTTCAGATCGCACATTCGTACTAGGTCAATCAAGACACAATCGTCTTGGGAAACACACAATTAAGGGTTTCAGTCAAGCCATTTGGGATCGTTGGCCAGGCTGCAATGTACTAAAAAGGGATTGGGGGAAGGTCTGTTTGTGAGAAATTATAACAGTATTTTCATTTATCATGCTAAGCAGCTCCTACAATTTATATAAAACTACTTTTTGTTTAGTGACTTGTTGAATCACCTAACCAAGCTCTCAGCGTCGATATTTTAAAATCACTGCAATTAATACATCCAGTGGTTTCCTGCTCCCACATGCTGAATCTCTACTGATTTTATATCAGTTACAAGGGAGGGACAATAGATGTTTTTACTCAGATACAGGACAGAGACATTGTTTATGGTTGTGTGTTTTTCCCCTGTCCTCCCAGTATTCATTCAAAAAAAGCACTTTGCAACTTTCACCAATTTAGACGAAAGGTTATAAACCTGAGACATTAACTGTTTCTCTCCACAGATACTGCCAAACCCAAGCATTTCCAGCATTTTCCATTTTTATTTCAGGATATCAGTCACTACTTTATCAATAAAACCTCTGAAAAATACAATTACTGCTCAACAATTTGGCCAGCTTGTACAAAACTAAAGTCCAACTTGTATTACGTTCCATTAGCAGATCGCAGGTAATCAGGGACACCTTGAGAGATCTCAGTCAGTGCTGTAAGAACTAACTTTGATCATTTCCAAAAGTTACTGGAAAGAGAACTTTCCTCTTGGTGCTGATAATTTTCCTGCTCATTAATGTAGCAAAACGCATGACCAACTAATTAACCATCTTTCAGACTACACGATTAACAATGACCAAACCAGAACAAAAACAGGTTATATTGTATGGGATCCCAGGATTTGTACTGGTGACTTAGGGAGAAAGAGAGAGAGAGTCATACGGCATGGAAACAAACCCTTGGGTCCGATTCATCCGTGCCTACCAGACATTCCAATCTGACACAGACCCATTTTCCAGCTTCTGACCTATATCCCTATAATGCCTTCCTATTCATGTACCCATCCAGATGCCTTTTAAATGTTGTAATTTTACCTGCCTTCAACACTTCCTTTAACAGTTCATTTCATACATGCACCACCCTCTACATGAAAATGAAAGCCATTAGATCCCTTTTAAATCCTTCCCCTCGCACCTTAAACTTATGCCCTCTAGTTTTGGATTCCCCTACTCTGGGGAAAAGACCTTGGCTATTTACCCTATCCATGATTTTATAAACCTCCATATGGTCACCCTTCAGCCTCCAACACTCCAGAGACAAAAGCCCCATCCTATTCAGCCTCTCCCTGTCAAACCCTCCAGTCCCAGCAACATCCTCGTAAATTTTTTCTGCATCCTTTCAAGTTTCACAACATCGTTCCTATAGAAGGGCAACCAGAATTGTACACAGTATTCTAGAAGTGGCCTCATCAGTGTCCCGTACAGCTGCAGCATGACATCCCAATTCCTACACTCAATGTTCTGATCAATGTAGGCAAGTGTGCTAAATGCCTTCTTCACCACCCTGTCCACCTGTGACTTTCCTTTCAAGGAACTATGCGCCTGAAAAGTTGCTGCATCCTGAAAAGACTGTAGTGGTGTATTACTGTGCTAACATTGAGGCTAGCAGGACAGTCCAATGCATGTGGCAAGGCACCATTTTGCTTTGAGCTTCAAACTGTACTTACAAGAAGGGGTGTGCGTGCATGCATGCATGCTGAGTGTAAAGCCACACATTGCACCCAGCAAGTTATCCCTGAATGTTTTGAGCTACGTCTGCTGTTTCAATGCACCAAGTTAAAAATTAGTTCTTGGCAAGAAAATAAACTACGAACTTATAGACAGAGTGCTTCATAAATTTGGCCTGACTTTGCAATGAACTCTCCATAATTATGCAATGCAAGTTAGATTGGACCTTCAGTGGGTTAATGCAACATGTGGATGGCAAGCTACCCATTTTTATTCCAAACAAAAAACTGAAGATGGAAAGAGGTTAAGTGGAAATTGCTACCCCTCCATTTTTGCATCACCAGGGGCACTCATGTTTTTACGAACTGCGCTCATCTGAAACAGACTGCAATACAGAATTTCAGGGTTTTACCAGCTTAAGACAGCTAAGGTTTGGTACCACTGTAACCAAGAATTGTTTAGAACTGTCACGTACAAATGAAAATACTTCCAAGGTTAAATGTGAAGCAATGTTCATTTTACACCACCAGTGCAGGTTCGACTAAAAATCTCCATCCAAAAAAGCCCAGCAAGTAGCAACAGGTTGGCTACACTATGGCCCAATGGCAATGGCTCCCTTCTCACTATCCCGTTATGCACACCCAGAACAGGAACAACACTCAGTTGGGGTAGTGAAACCTCAATTAAAAACATTAAGAATTAACATTAAGCTGCAAAACCTCAAAGCACAGACACAGTCATTGGATATCCAGTCTTTCAATCCGGAGATACCCAGGTCTGTTCAGGCTTTGCGATAATTTGACTTAACAAAACATTTCACAAAAATCCCAATGGTTTAAACAGAAACAAAAACATTCACCAACATAGCAAAAAGGAATTTCACCAGCAATTCCTGTAACCAGCAATACAAATTACTTGTCTGGGTTGGGACATGATGAAAGCCAAATGATGAGACCCTAGGGGAACAAAAAAAAAATCTTACCTGGATGCTCACTCCACTCTGTGCCTTCAGTCTGTCCCGCAATGGTATAACATTCACCCACTGGATTCACATAAGTCAATTGCTCTGAAAAAGTACACGTCATTTCCTCGTATTCAGGGGGGTTTACTGGCTGCGCAGTGCCCAAAGGTACCTGCCCAAACTCTGACTCTGTGATGCTAGTGATCTCCGAACTCTGTACAGTGGAAATCTGCACAGTTACAGGACAGTCAGCAGTTAAGGAGCTCAACGCATCTTTCTCAACAGTCTGCGGTACATCAGTCAGTGCCGGAAGCTGTGCTGGCAGTGGTAGATGGTCTTCCCCAATAGAGCTCTTGCATGGCGATTGGGCTCGACACGGAGATACCAGCTCACCAACCTCAGTTCCATGTCGGCCTTCATTTTTGTCTGTTTCTTCACAAGGTTTGCCCCCCGAATTCAAGGCTTTGTCATTCACGCCACCTTCTTTGCTTGCAGTGTCATAAACAGACTCACTGGCATCAACATCAATGAGTTTCACATTGAAATATTCCTCAAACTTCTGTTCAGAGTCAGACTCGTCACAGGTGGAAGTGTCCGATTCGCACTTCATGTACAATTCATTAGACTGTCCTGGCTTCCTTCTGGCTGTGCCTCTCTTCTCCTTCCTCACCTTCTTGGTCACTGGACGGGGCTGCTGACTCTGGGTTTCCTCCGAGGTGCTGACCGTCACACTGTCCTTGGCAGCAGGTTCAGCATCCGGGGTGTGGCAGTTCTTCTGGACAGGCTCTAAGCACTGCAGGTACTGGTGACCTGCTTCACACTGCCACACAATGGCCACTGAGCACTCACACACTTGCTGCAGTTCATAGAGTACAGGCTCCTGTTTGCATGTCTGCTTATGATGCTCGTACCACACCACCAGAGTCTTCAGTGAGCTAACTGCTTGCTTTTTGACTGTGGGTAAAACAGAGAAGTTGTTGTAATGTATTAGTTAAACTCAAATTGCTTGCAGCATTGCCCGTAGGGAAGTAGGTGAAAATCATTCTTCTATGTAATGAAAAATTAGGAGACCCCACAAAGTTGCTCTACAGAGCCAATGAGTGCTAGAGCCCATAGCTGCAAGAAGAGCTGAAATAAGTAATTTAAAGCAATAAAGGGTGACAGAAAACTATGAATAAAAATTCTGCCAACAGGAAACTAATAGTTGGTATCGTTAAAGTCTTCAGCCTAAAAGCATTGTTAATTGATAGAAGATAGTAGAACTGCCGATGCTGGAGTCAGAGATAAGTGTCGAACTGGAGGAACACAGCAGGCCAGGCAGCATCAGAGGAGCAGGGAAGTTGACGTTTCGGGTCGGATCCCTTCTTCAGAAATGGGGGAGGGGGAAGGGAGCTCAGAAATAAATAGAGAGGAGGGTGGGGCTGGGGAAGGT